TTAGTTTCATCTTCAATCGTATCCATAGTGCATATAGTCTTGATTCTATGATGTAGTGTCTTGATAAGGTTCCTTTTTTGTTGTAGAGGAACGAAACTGAAAAAGTTAGTATATTGACCCGTCCAGGTCATTTTCCTGTTTATGTTTCTTTTTAGCGATCCATCATTTCTCCTTGTAAGCAGAACATCTAGGAAGGCTAATTTACCCCCATTTTCTTTTTCACATGTGAATTTTATGGACGAGTGAGCTCTATTGAATTGCTCGAGTGTTCTTATCAAGTCCGTATGCTCGTTACAAATGATAAATGTATCATCCATATATCGACAGTACAATGAAAATTTATCGATCTCTTGTGCCAGTGGGCCGTTTTCTAGTTTAGAAAGGAAAATGTCTGCCAATATGGGACCCAGGGGTGAACCCATCGCGACACCATCTATTTGTCTGTAAATTTCCCCATTGAATTTGAAATGTACATTCATAGTGCATTTCAGTAATAATTCCATGATGATCTCTACAGGGATTGTCGTTTCTAGTTCCTGTTCTCTAAGTTGTTCACAAATATATTCTACAGTTTCTCTGAGTGGAACATTTGTGAACAGAGATGTAACGTCAAAAGAAATCATTGTCTGATCTTTCGTATTTATGTTTTTAATCCTGTCAACGAATTGGAATACGTCCTTAATACTATGTTTTACCAGGCGATTATGGAGTGGTTTTAAAACAGTTACTAGCCACTTTGCTACCGTATGATATGGAGAATCATACATGTCCAGAATTGGTCTTAATGGGATATCAGGTTTATGTATCTTTGGCAATCCGTATAACCTAGGTAAATGTGTACCTATCGGCTTAATGGTTTCATATACGTCTTTTGAAATCATTTGTTGATCTCTGAGCTTTTTTAAGGTTCGGATCAGTTCACTCTCTATCTTATTATTGACATCTTTTTGATTATTCAGTTTCTGAAATTTTTGAAGATCATTCAAGATGTTATTCATCTTGTCAATGTAGTCTTTTTTGTTAAGCAGGACGGTTCCTGTTCCTTTATCGGGTTTTGTGATAATCAGATTCTCGTCACTAATGAGATCCATGATAGCATCCCTGTGTTTTTTAGTTAAAATACTCCTGTAGTTAAATCTACTATGCTTAAACTGATAGCAACAGTCAACTAGGTTTGATTTGAAACGTTCAAGTTCCTGGTCAGAGGTCGGGACCAGATCTGATGTCTGACGATTTAGGTTTTCAAATTGGATATCTGTATCGATTTGATTTGCCGTTGTCATATCGCAGAACTAGAGGCGACTTGATTACAGTCTACAAATTGCTTAGTGATAAATTTGCACCTAACATGCCCTCATTTTTCTTGTCTTCCAAAACAGAGAATTTACGAGGACACTCCAAAAAGTTCACAAGCCGAGAACAAATTACTTGTCAGCTGACTATCGACTTTCCCATCGAATCATCAACGAGTGGAATTCACTACCTCAGCACGTGGTTGAGGCTCTATCCGTCGACTCTTTTAAAAGAAAGTTGGATCAACTGCGAAACCATCATTGCCAGGACTAACATAGGCCATCGAGCCTCCTGTCCTTCCAAACTGAAACTGAAACTGAAAGTCAGATGACCTTGACCAAGGTTAAGAGGGAATTTCGGGGAAATATTGTGACATTTCCGGCACAGTATGCTTGTTAGTTTACGGGTTTTCGCGCACGTGTAACGTATTGTCGTGGATTTTATGTGTCGTTATTTATCAGCTATTAACAGCCTTTTTTCCGTCATACATGACTTTTCGTAATCTTTGTGATTGGAAGATAGTTTTTGTTTCAATTTATAAGCAGTTTGACGTATTTCGTGCTCACCACCTAAGTAAATATGTAGCTGGCGTAATATGGTTTTTTTTAACAATACTAAGTCAAAGAAGTCAAATCACCATTTTTCTAGTCAAAAATAGATTACAGATTGAGTTTTCATGAAAATAAGCCGTAAAAAGAATTATATATGGTTCACCTCCTTGATTATGGTGACGGCAAACACAGATGTTGGTAGTCGTTTATAAAATGTAATTAGAAAGAAGTAAGCGTTAAAGTAACTATGAATATTATATAAATTGTTTGTATTTAGCCATAAAAGGTTATTTGGACTATAGGTAGCATTGTTTTGTACTGAAGTGACATATTACTGTGTAAGGTATCAGAGAGAAATTATGTGAGTAACAATAGACGTTGATAGTCTTTTTTACCGGTTTTCTGAACTTATACAGAAATAGTGTGTAACACCACATTAAATATGCACGAAATCTTCATAAGTAAATCGATGGGTGTCTCTTCTGAGCATGGTGACGAAACCATGTCTTACTTAATACTGACTTATGATGTGTCTGTTAGAGGATTGACGAATAATTCTCTGTAAAGGAAATGCACAATCGCAGAAGAAAATGTGAACAAAGTTATTATGCATATTGTCGAGTAATATCTAAATGGTGCTTGCCAATTTCTCTTGCTAATACCAGATATATAGACGAAATACTACAAGGGTTAGACACTGAAGAAATTTCCATTGCTTGTTAAGACACAAACTTAAATCAAAAAACAACTATTAATGAGTTAATTCATGAATTCCTACTGCATTACAGACTGACTCGTCCAAAGTAATTCATGCAGACAACGTGACGAAAAGTGAATGAGCAATGGAAGCAGAATCACAAGTTCCTTGTATTCATATCGCCTTTATGCCACATTATTGAATTACATTTTATTCATAAATCTGACCACGCTTCTATGTTGTGACGAACCTGATTTCAGTAATTTTTAAATAACACTGATTTGTGTGTTGTAAAGATTACCTATTAATTTTTATTAAAGGAAATAGAAATCTCTAATGATTAGCGCTGTCTGCAAATAAGAGACTTATAAGTACATTCTGTAACCTGCTATTTGATTGACTTATTAAATGTGATATTGATAACTAGGTCTAATTCTTTATTTCACAACTGATTTGTTTGTTTTTCAGAATTGTATGAATCAAATGAAGTCGTAAAAGCTTTGTGATGATGTTTACGCCGGTCTACAACTTATAGAATTTGTGATTATAGAAGACCATATTAAAATCATTTTTATTCAACAAATGAATTAGTGAAATATAAATATAGCAACTACACTTAGTGTCTTACGTTATAAACCGTGTCAGTATTTATTAATAGTCGATATGACGCTAGAACAAATATAGATAGAGAATAATATGAACTCCTTATAATCCATGGAATGAACAAGTAATAAGAAGGATTATGTAATAATTTATTTCACTTTTAAAATTTAGTTACGCATTTTTTCCATCACCCTGTCACTTAATCCTCTGTAATTACGTGACCTCTGCAAATTGTAATCAATTATGACGTAACTCAAGTTTTCAGTTCTTAAATCCACGGATCATTTACAAGCTATAAGAATTTCACACCACTTATCTGTCTGTGAACTGCAGTCAACTATTATATCACCCATTCTTAATGTGTTATTGACTGTAAAAGCAAATGACCTTTGACCTTACACTGCATATATATATATATATATATATATATATATATATATATATATATATATATATATATATATATATATAGTCACTATTGATAACCTACGTCATTTCATTTATTCATATTCAGGTATGTCAACTGTTTCCCACATCACTGTTAAATCCTATTGCATATTTAGTTGTAATGAATGCATACCACTGTTAATCAACATTTCCCCTGGTTTTATTTTGATTCATAAGCGGAATTAATCACATGAACTTAAAATGTACATAGGTCCTATTACGATTTTAATGATAAACGTAATCCCACGAAGGTGAATATGATATGTGGGTGCCTAATCTGCAAAACTGTACGCGGATGTAGGGTTTCTTAATCAATCTTAATTATTACAAACAGTTACACATGAACATCATTGCTATTCATTCCCATAAAAGTAGGAATAAGATGAAAATTGAAATTATGAAAGTTTATTGAAGAATCATTGCTGCAAAAGCAGAAAATCAAGTTTACAAGTTGGTATTAAGAATTCTTAAGTAATAATTGTCCACTTTCTTCTCAACTTCCGTTGCAAAACGTTCACCATACTTCTCAATGATGCGATGTTTATGGATTCTTTGGCTTCGTTGAATACTTACATACACTTCACTCCGTCGTGGTAATGCAGGTAATGTATAATTTTGGAAGTTCTGGGTATTGTGTAACTTCCATCTGCTACAATACCTAAGAAGTTGATGAGCTATGCAGTTAGTATTTCATAATTGATATAGCTTACCTGTAAGATTTCTTCTTTTACTTTCGATAACTTCGTCTGCTGACTCACAGTGAAGTATTACAAGCTTCGAGTTCTCTTTTTCTTCTGACGATAATCTCCTTGTCCATGGATCACATACCATCCATGAACTACTACATGGATGATTGTGTATCATCTTGTAGGATTTGATTACATATCCTTGCTCTTCTAGTCTTACACGGAATTTAGATTGACAATTACGGAATTTAGACCTTAAACATAAGATATTAGTTAAAGATCTTACGATTTTTGCCTCACTTTCAAACCTTCCGATTTCCGTTTGTGACCAAACGTACAATTAAACGATACAAACAGGTATTTGAACCTGACATCCTTCAGCAATCTGCTTTCTGTGTGGATGTAACGAGTATAAGTAGTCTGAGAAGCGATAAAATTATAGTTCCATACTTTTTGGAACTCTTTTAAGGCGCTTTCAAAATCATCCCACAACACGAAACGCTTGTTCAGTATCATACTTCGAAAGGCATCGGTTAAGTCGACTGAAATGTCACTTGAGGATGAAGCACTAAAAACAGACATTACTAATTATTAAACAGTTATTCCTTGCAACAATAATAACCCAAGGAAATACTACAAATACTTGAGATTTACCTGTGACTTGACATTTCGTTTAGCTTTACTACAATTGTTGGGATCAAAGATCAAATTACAAAGCAACAACAGAGCCAAAGTGCACACTACAAAACAGAGAACGCTAAATTAATGGTTTTGCTATTTATTTCGTGCTTTTTATGTAGCATAGGATGACTTATATATGAAAAAACTTGATACTCATGCAAACCAACCAACCCACGGCAATTGAAATACGGAATGACCGCCTCTAATCAAGCCGTTCAAGGTCGCTGAAACGAAAGGGCGGGCACATTTCAAAAGGACCTAACGTTTAAACCGTGCCGACATTTCCCCAAAATTTATTATGACGGCTTCTCCAAAATTTCCCCAGAATTGGGAGATTGGGTATAGGAGAGACGATGTTAAACCCACGAATCGTATCACTGATGCAGCCCATATTCAGTCGTCGGTAACTAGAATGTATCCTTATTACATGTCCACAGACCTACTATAGTAGGTCTCGCCGATCTGTCTTCTTGATATTGTTCACAAACAGGGCTTTATTTTAAAAGGGCAATTATATTTTTCATTGCTGAGTTAATTTTATTGTTTCGATTGGTAATCACGCTTCAAGACTACTACACAAGCTCACAATTTTGGGGAAGCCGCTATAGTAAACTTTGGGGAAGTCTATTTCACTTTGGGGATTTCCCCTAAGTTGGGAGCTTTGATGGCTTCGCTTTAATTGAATGTATTTAAGTTAAAGTTATCACCAAGTGTTTCGTTTTTTAAAAGTAATTTGTCATATGTTTATTTTGGAAACAAAAATTCAAGAAAAGTTTCTTCTATCCACAACCCACCGAATGGCAAGAAGCAGAAAATACCACCACCTCAAATGCCTAGAAGCCTAGTCGCAAGGCTAGGTCTGTTTCTTGCAGGAAAAACAACAACCTGAATACCCATGTCGTCGACACTCATCTAGGACCCCACAGTGTGCGTATCGCTAGTGTGATTGCTACTCCAATGAAAGTGAATGAATGGGTACAGTTCAAGAATAAAAAACGACCTAATGTTACTAAAGAAAAATCAATTCCCCCCCTGAAAAAACAGCTGAAAAATTAAAGACTGACCTTAGTGACCGGTCAGTTGTCTTTCATTGATTCAAATAGTGAAGCTCAGAACCCAGAGCTCGTTTTGAGCGTGATATTGGGTTGATAAATATGTACTAAACCAGTTATTGCCTAAAAAATCTCTGGAGTCACTTTGCTAAAGGTTTATAGACTAGGTAGCCAAAGAAGTTGCTAAAAGTCTAGCGAAACTTCTGGGATGTACAGGAGTTAGTGGATTTTATGTGGAACAATTTGTATAGACGTCAATGAGTATTTGTGAAACTAGATGCAGGATAAAAATATGCAGTTACTAGTAATTCTAAAATAAATCTAACTAAACATATTTACATAGATGAGACAAACCACTTATTGTATTTACTACTTTATTATATTTCAGAAGTTCCGATAGACTTCCATCAACAAAGCTTAAAACCCAGGTTTCAGGAGATTTATCAAATTAGTCAGTATTCTTGATTGATTCTCAGTGCTGTCGTTAAATAACTTATTTTTAAATTACCATCACCAAAGTAATATATATTGATTAGACTAATGTGACTAACGTATTAGAAAGAGGATGCCACTTCCCTGTGGCTTACGCCGAGGAAGGTTTCCTATTCATTGGGCATTTGAAAATGAAACTGGGTTAGTTTTTATCGTGACTACTAAAGGGCGTGATAGCAGATCTGCAGAGACAACTGCTCGAGGCTGGTTACAAAACTTATTCGTGATGAGTTATTAGGTTTCGCTCCGTAATTAATAACCTTTACCTCCGGGATTTTAGGTAAGGTGTAATATGTCTCGAGTCTACCTTTTCTGAACCTTTTCTTCTGTTATGAGAGGCTAGCTCCACTGCAGATGCTCGTTGTTTAAAGAAAGTACTTGACTTCCAAAACACAGTACAGTCGACAGTACGGTTTCACCCTAGGGCCTCGAGTTGTTGCCTTTAGTCTTGATTTTCTTCAGCCGACCCGTCTGACGTTATAGGACCTAGAGAAATATGTGTTCAAACAAGTATAAGCCGATTGGTTCATAGATAAACATGAGTATCATATCAAGGCAGTAGGTACGGTAGGGATAGTATTAAGGGCCATTTCCTTCAACTGCACGATGAAACCTCGCTTTCTTTGTTGTATAGCCTCTCAGAAATGTTATTTGAGCTAATTACTTAGAACAGTTCCTGTTCTTATTTTACCAAACACTGCAAATTATCTACAAACAGCTGCATAGAGTTTGTTTTCATTATTTACTTTTTTTTATTCTATTACTATCCTGACTGTAATGACGTGAAAGATTATATAGCATATAAACGATTTGGAGACGACCCTTTTAATGACTTACTGGCTTCTAAACATCCCTGGAATCCTCTGAAATACTCAAGTTCATTTCCAACCTAACTCAACCCTAGGGGGAATAACTGTAAATTAAAGGTACAGTACAATAAACCGAACTGCAGGCGTAGCATCTACTTACGAATAGTCAAGTTTTTGATCTTGTCACTAGATGAAGTCCTTTAGGCGAATTCCCCGGGAGTCATTCAAAAAGAACTTTGATACATTCATAAACCTAGATCTCTGCCTGGAGCCATCGGTTATCCATTACTACTAGATATGTAAGCTCGTTAGGCAGAAACTTCTCTTCTGTTTTCAACTGTGTAAACCATCTGAAATATATCCACAAAATGCTTCCATTTCCTCTCAAAAGGTATGTCTATACGCCACAAAGTATTGCTTTTTCAAGCTTGCTACTAAGTAAAACTTTTACTCTTCATCATTTTTTGAAGCGTACATAATTTCTTCTTGATCATCAGTGGTACCCTCATAGTACTTACTATTTTCATTGCTAGAATTTGATTTTAGTCTTCCAAAAAATTCCTAGTTTTTGTTCATGCTCCATTAAAAACCTGTTTCAATTAATTTTTATGCCAAAATAACGAAATTTTTCCTACTTCGTTGACTTAGTAATGTTATTTACGCGAAGATAAATTATTTAATCATTTTTGGAAAGTTAGCAGTTATACTGTCACAAAATTTATGTAATGTGATAATGACAGACAAGTTTATCTTCTTTTAGTGATTCCAAATGCAGCATGGATCTACCTTGTAAACCTTTAGCATGTAAAATTCAAAGTTGTTTAATTAGTAAGTATTCTTTTCCATCCCTAAACTTATTGCATCTATTGTTGTTACAATTTGACTAGGGAATGATTTCGATGTTACTCGATGTACAAGGGAAATAACTTCACTTATTGAATGCTGTCAAAAATTTCGACATATTAAACAACCGTGTTGTGAAGGTTGGGATAATTACAAATACAGACCTGATAATCAAACGAAGACGAATTAAACGAAATCAATATTTATGTAATCTCTTCTGTTGGTATTTCATTATTTTAACGAAAAGAAAGAATATGATGATCATTGCAATCCTTCTGAATTTTTTTTAAAGTTATGGCTATGATTGTATTCCCATTTGTTTAAAAAGATAATTCATTTGATACAAGAATTCGTTGTATCATCCTTGTGTACTTTTTATTTTATATATTACACAATTTTGACTGGTTGACCTGTATATGATATTCTTAGTCACTTAACAGAACATAGTTCAAAGTTTACTATTGAATGGAATTGGTTAAATACATTTAGACCTTAATGTCTGATGAAAGATAGCTACTTATTATTTGCGAAATTTCCAGGACCATGGATTGATATTGTTTAGGAATAAGATGAAAACTTCACTGTTAGTTTATCTATCTTAGAGAAAACTGTACCGTTAAATACTGTTTAGTAACTTTTCGAAAATTATACATAGATCTGGGATTAAGCCAATACTTTAAGTGACCAAATGGGAGGTCAAGTGAAATAAACTGCTAGTAGGTGGTTAAAAATGCAGTGTTTAACTATCTTAGGACGGACATTATCTAGGTATGTACTTTGCAAATAGACTTTCGTAACAAATTTTAAGTTGTGTACATCTATGTTATCACATACACAACATTAGCGCATTTGTGACTTATATACAATATGATTTTAAATACAAAGGAATAGACGCTTCATAACCATTTTGTCATATTCAACCCTAACTTATATTTTTTTGTATTCAAGGCATTGGAGCGAATAATCGTTTTCAATAGCTTCTTTGCCAAGCTGTATAGTTATAAATTCAAAATTATTATTATGTCACAAGCGAAGAAGTACTTAAGTGAGATTAATCCATGTCATCAATTGAAAGTGGCAAATATCACGTCCATTGAGTCTTAAATACTAAGAATTACTAGCAAAAAGTATGACGTCATCAGTAATGTTAAGAGGATAAGGAAAACTATGTCTTGAGGTAATGAGTTCTAATCAATAAGTTAAAATCGTACATGAAAGAAAGTTAATACAAGATAGGAGCTGTTGTTTTAATTGTAATAATAATAATGAGAAGAGAAGGAAGAACGACAACAACAGTAACAACTATTAGTAAGAATATCATGTAAAATAAGATGATTCAGCAATGAGAGATTAAAAAATCTCATGGAGTGAGTGCAACTCATAATGAAGAGACGGGATGACATTGGAACTACGAATGAAATGAGCCTAATGTGAGTTAAGGTAGACAACGAGTCTAGATATATCGTCTTAGTATATGTAAATTAGGATAAAAACACGTATTTTGAAGCGGCATATGGCACCAAAAGGTGCAAGATTACGTAATATGTGGCTGAAGTAATTGGCACCAATTCAACGGAACCTAACTTATTATCATTATTATTACAACTAAGACAGCAGCTCCTATCTTGTATTAACTTTCATTCAAGTACGATTTTAACTTATTGATTAGAACTCATTACCTCAAGACATAGTTTTCCTTATCCTCTTAACATTACTGATGACGTCATACTTTTTGCTAGTAATTCTTAGTATTTAAGACTCAATGGACGTGATATTTGCCACTTTCAATTGATGACATGGATTAATCTCACTTAAGTACTTCTTCGCTTGTGACATAATAATAATTTTGAATTTATAACTATACAGCTTGACGAAGAAGCTATTGAAAACGATTATTCGCTCGAATGCCTTATATTCTTGATTATTCTACAAAAATTTTGAAATTTTGATATGAGGTCAATAAATTACTTATGTAATACTGTGTTAAATTGAGCTAGGTCAAGATACCCTTTAAAAGTCTTAACATCTTCCATTATTTAGAAGATGAAATGAATTTAATTTGATCTAACTGGCTAATACTTCTATCCCGTGTTATGGAAGATGTAAGTGAAATTTTCAAGGTACGTTTTGTTGATTGCTACCTTGGAAAATAAATTATACTCATTTCTAGTTAGAATCAAGGCTGTAATAGTATGATTGTCTGACCAATCATATATCTCAAGGTACGGAGACTTCATATATATCAGTAAACATTATCTTACATTTTTAATCTAAAATGAACTTTCCAGTCACTTCTATGTACAAAATTTCAAAACTAACTATGTACAAACATGAATTTCAGTAAGCTTATATTTCACTCTCTTTATTCAACGATATATCAGCATTCAGATTGATTGCGTTTCGTATTTAGCAACAGTGTGGTTAGAGCAACTGACGTTTAGTCACTTTTTGTAGATAAAATCTATACTTCGGTTAAAATATCCGAGTATTATAGCTAGTTCTCATTAAAAACAGTGTAACTTAAAACTGACAACACCAAACTGTAACTAATTAAATTTTAATAGTAGTATAGGAATAACTTGGATAACAGCATTTCGAAGTTTTAAGGGTAGTGGTTTTTTCTATTTGAAATGGAATTGTTGAGTATAGAAAATGTTAAGTGATGCTTCAAAAGCTGAAAATTGACAAAAACAGTTCCCAGAGAAATTTTTTCTAAACTACACTTGGAGATCGTTCCTTTTGTTGATACACGATGATTATCGTACTGAGCATATCATTTGACCAAAGTCAGTTAGTTTGTACACTTCTTTGTAAAAAAAGTTATTAGTAATTTTTTTCACTGACAGTAAATTACTTATAATTGATGCACTAGGGTGTTATTCATGTATTCTGTCCGAAGTTTTAGATTCAGCTAACAAAAAGTGTACATTTAAATCAATAAAATACGGTTTACTGGTGAAATTAGTGTCACTGGAATTCTATTGGAATCACCAATGTTTTATCGTTCTGTGAAATGTTTTATACAAACGTTCATAGTACTCGTAAGTAGCTTCGTGGTCCTTATGGAAAAAGTCAGATTAGAGGTGTGTAACATTGAATATACTGGGCAGCTGTTCCTATCTAGTTTACGACTCTCCATTAGTAGGGGTCATAAAACAGAGTGACAAATTTATAAAGCTAATAATATCATACATCACTGAGAATCGCTTTCAAATCATGAGATTATTCAGGAAATAAACCATTTCACTATTGTCTTCTCAAGCTCATTCATTTCTTAGACCTTAACATTGTTTTCGTCGGATAGAAAAATCTATAAAGTGTAGAAAATAAATCAGAATAGTGATGTATTTAATGAAGGTTTATCAATGACATACCAGAGAGATTGGATGGTAAGTTATGCACGATTATAAAATATTTAGATTAGAGTTGAAAAATAGGGTGATATGCAAGGACATAAATTGATGTATAACAGATAGTGGCCAAATAAGTCTTTTGTTCATGTGATTAGAGACGTTCTACATGCTTATTTATAACGTCAGCTGTACTAAGATGACGAATTCATACAGTTTTCTGTGGATTTATTTTCACCTCTCAGTGACCTTGGATGAAATCCTATTGTTATTGAATGGATTTTCAAAGCAACCCCACTATTACCGTCTAATCATTTGAAAGAGTATTGTTCATGGCTTCTGAACAGTAATAATTTCAATTGACTGTTATTTAGCTCCATATTACCAGGCGAATTAATCTATACATATCGATAAACTTAAAGACTAATTTATACTTTAGACTCGTAAGTTATTGCTAATCAAGGCCGTCGCATTTAGTACCACTGAAAAGAATATCCTTACACTTAACGTTGAAATACTTTTATTGATAATATCAGAAGTTCAGTAATTTTAAAATCCTATTCGACCCATTCTGGTGAACGAAAATACAGGCGGGGAAATCCATCACGTAGGGGCTTGATAAAATATGTAAATCAAAGATTAAGTACATCATTTGCACATTTTCGTTGCGTTGTCATTCATGTACTGCATTGTTCCTCTAATTTTGTTGTTATTTCGATTGCCATCCGATCACCTTGTTCTACTCTTTCCAATCTTCTGTTACTAGGCGTTCCTCTTCCAACTAGTACTACATACTACTTATGTCTATCGGTATAAGTAACATACACCACACTAGTACATAAATGGTGGCTTGATTATAGCGCTTTTGTCTACAAAGAGTAACGGATAACATCTTTAAATAAATATTTTTCTTTGATACAACTACATATACATTGAATGGGAGTGTCAAATCACAAATGAATTTGCTTTGATTTACTTACTTCTATTACTTTTCGTGGAGGAGCATGGGCAGCCCAGATTTATTGTTCTTATATTTGCTTTGAGTTTTGTCATATTTTTAGAAAAATACCTATATCGATGCACCTGTACTCTACCACCGAACTAATCAGAATGAAGACAGCAACTTATAGTTTTTCATGCAAAATTCAAGATATAACTCTGGCTAGCAACCACCCTATTAATGGATTTGTTAAAAATAGGTTTATTTAACGTTTGAATTGCTTGAGGTTGATCAGAAGAGGCTTCTTGTATCATCATACATAAAAAATGACAGGGTATGAAAACACTTCCATCTGGATTTTGTGCTGATGATTTTGTTTAGAAAGACAGTAAAAGCTTCACAATTAATTTACTCAACTTAAAAAACGTAACCCCACCAAAATCATTCTCTTGAGCTAGAAATCTTTGTTTCTTTAAGTAAGCTAAACACTCGTTGCTTCTAATACAGACTTAATCTGAGACGTAATGTAGTAAGAATTGTCCTGTTATTCAGAGTAGACGAAATCTCTCAAATGAAAGTAACCCTAACCGTTAATTGTAAATCATAATTCTAATTCCTCACACTGCTTTATAACCCTCATATTTAGTCCTGGTTAGTAGGTGGACATTCTTAAGGTCACTTTGGCGTCGCTCAAAGGTCTTCCATAAATAATAGTTTTACCATCAAATCAATTAAACCCGAATAGCATTCATAACTCATTAGCAGTTAGATAAATTCGTTGAGCTAAAACGCCAATCTGTAAATACGAAATAGACTTTTGAAGTAATTCAGAATTATTAAGTCAATTTAGTGTTTGCCAGTTTGATGTTTTAACGGCTACAACACCAAACTTTCGATCAACATGCAGATGAGTTGAACTTCTCTTTATCTAATTTGGACAGCAAGTAGCCCATTAACTCACAAATCAACTAGTTTGGCCCAAGCCAAGCACTTAATCCTTTGTCTGATTTTTGAGTTGTTGAAGTTAGACACTGACACCGTTGGATGTTGGTGGATCAGCGGTCTAAAGGGTAAATGTTCGCGCATGAGACCGAAGGTCTTGGGTTCGAATCCAGCGTGTGGGATTGTGGATGCGGACTATTGAGGAGTTCCATACTAGGACGAAAGGGTCGTCAAGTGCTACCAGGTTTTCAATAGTGGTCTAACTTAGATCGACTC